CTCTCTTTCTCTCTCTCTATCTATCTATCTCTCTCTCTCTCTCTCTCTCTCTCTCTCTCTCTATATATATATATATATATATAAATATATATATATATATATATATATATATAACACAGCTGTTCCACTAACACTTCCTTTCTCGTCTATGCTGTTTTTCTCATACAGATGAGGTCGCTAACACCGCTAGCATGGCTTTTCCAAACACCTACGGTCTGATCTTTGCCTGTACCTGTGGGCTCATCCTGGGCATCGGGCTCTGTGCCAACCTCCTGGTCTTCTCCCTGTTCGCCAAGCACAACACGTTACGCAAGAACCGCCTGGACGTCCTCTTGCTCAGCATGACCTTGGCCGACTTCCTCACCCTCCTGCTCATTCCCTTCACCCTTCACTCCGCCCTCAACCACACCTGGCCTCTGGGCGACACCTCCTGCAAAATCTACCAGTTCCTGCTCGCGTTCAGCCTGGCGGCCAGCACGTACTCGCTGTGTGCCGTGTCCATGACCCGCGCCATGATCGTCACCAACCCCCACCATCCTCCCACCATGGACCTGGTCATCCTCATGTTCGTCCTGGTCTGGGCTCTGAGCTTCTTCATCAGCCTGCCTCTCCGGATGTTTGCCAACAAAGAGAGTTTGGGCCCAGGTTTGGCCAACTTCACCTTCTGCCTTCCGACCATACACGAACATCACTACCAGGTGGTCCTCAGCCAGTTCGTGCTCTACTACTTCATTCCGATGCTCGTCATCGCCTTCAACTACGTACGCCTAGCCGTCTTCCTCCACAGGACCCCCGTAATGTCCATGTCCAGCGCCAGGAACACCCGCCGGGCGTCCGTCATGGTGTTCCTGGCTGCAGCCACCTTCTCAGTGTGCTGGCTGCCCGGCTACGTGCTGGAACTGTGCGTGTACCTGGGCCTGTACCGACACGGACAGGCCTGGGACGTGTTCTACTTTACTTGTACGGTTCTCCAGTACCTGCACCCATGTGTCAACCCCGTGCTCTACGTGCTGCTGTCTAAGCGCTACCGCCACACGAGGGCAGTGTGGTTCTTCAGCTGTCACAGAAACAGAGTGCAGCCGCAGGTCGTCAGCGTCAGCACTGACAGTTTTCAGAACTGACTCCTGGAAGCATCAATAAGCCGGCCTCGGGGCAAAGATTTACTACTGCTAAAATCAGTTCATTTTAAATAGTTGAAATTATAAATGTACCATTTTTTTTTAAAGTACATATTTCCAGAATTATATAAATACACTTACAGCAGACATTTTCACTCACGGTCTTCATGCATTTTTCTCTTGACTACATCACACTGAAAGAATCTCATATTTAAAACACAACACTAATATATTTCACATGACCAACAAAGGAATTTTCCAAGTGAGATTTTTTTTTTTTTTTAAATTTGTGCATAAAAAAAAAAAATCTCACTTGGAAAACTGAGACCAAAATCGTCCTCCGTTCTCAATGTTTAAAAGAAAAATGTCCTTAATCAAACAGTATTTAAAAAAATACCAAAAATAATTAGCCAGGTTGAATACAAATGTTTTGCCTTTGGTTTTTGTAGAAACTACTGCCGAAACGTTGAACCGGACTTGACCTCGGTGACTCTTCGCTCATTTCCTTCTAAAAAAAGAAGTCGTCCATGAGACCAGTCCTTGTCCTTGAAGAGAGAAGGTCTTGTGAATGTGTCGAGACAAAGTCCATTTAAATCACCTGCCATGTCAGTGAGTGTAAAGAGTGTAAAGATTTTGTATCAGCAAGTAGCAATATCTTATTTTACTGTTAAACCAATAAAACCTGAGCCTACTAATACAGAACTGTCTCACATTTAAAGATCAATATTCTGATGGCTTAACAAGTGGATCTGGTGTCATAGGTCTCAGCTCAGAAAGAAAAAGAAATAAATTTCAAACCCTTTTCACCACAGATTTTGCACCATCTAGAGGCTGCCAGGGTCCACAACAACTACCAAGTCCGGATTTGAACCCACGACCCTCCAGTTGTAAGACAACCCGCGTTGGCTTTGCTGAGCTACAGCCATCCACACTTAAATAAAGGACAGCTTTTACACAAAGTCGCTGCATTTAAAACTCACCGGTATAGTTTGGATTTGAAGTAACAAACACATACACACACACACACCTGTGCTCTGACTGTGAACTGCAGCAGGGCCGCAGTGGAACAGGTGTGCAGTTATATGTAAAGCGGAGGGGATTGAGAATTGGGAATTACAGCGTTGGCTCTGTTCTGATGGCCGTTGCAGTAATCGGAGACACCCCCCCCCCTTCCGCCCCCCCCTCTCGACTTTTGGCCTTCTTCTCAGTGTACAGCATTGTCAGCTGGTCTGACTCGTACAAAGTGGTCATGGCTCATCAGCATGTTAGATATGGTGGCGTAATAAAAAAAAATACATCGCGTGCTCTGGCACCGCTTGGCTCGCAGTAAAAATACTGAACATGTCACGCAGTATAAAGTATATAGATGTGACCCAAAAGCAAATACGATCGATACTAAATCATGTATTTCTGTGTTTGATTGTACTGTGATACTTCCCCCACGTGTCGTCTGTTATTACAGTTCACCAGTCAACTGCCTACTGCCACATGTACTGTTACCAGCACGACAACCCGGCTCTTCGTCAAGGCGAAATACGGCGATACCATATAAGGCCGCTAGACGTCACTAAGACATCACAGTATCGAAGGACAAATCAGAACAAAAAGAACAGCTACCGAATGGCTTCGCTGGTCGTTCCGCGTTCTTGAAATAGCTGTCAGAAGGTAGTGACGTCACGAATAACAACAACAACAACACCAATAAAAAAAAAAAAAATTATAAAAAAAATAATCATACTTTTATAACACTAAAATTTCTCTCTATCTACACACACGCATTTATATTTATTTATTTTTATATATATTATTTTAAAAAATATCTATATTTTTTATATATATATTATTTTAAAAAATAGATATCCATATATTTTATATATATTATTTGTATACATGTGTATATACTGTATCCTGCATATATATATGTATCTATATTTATATTTAGTTCTAGTTCCTGTCTGAAGAGTACATAATATAACTTTATAAGTTTTAAGTAATACAAGTTTTAAGTTGATCAGGGACAGAGACACTTTGGTGTCCCCTCTCTGACCGCTCACTCACAGCCGGGGGGCACAGAGAAACATTCGGTTTCTAATGCGTTACGGGCCAACGCACACATCGGACTAAATTCTACAGATTCCTCCGAGACCACATTCCTGACACACTCCACCGGTTAGGCAATGCACATGGCTGAACAGAAAATAGTCGTGGCTACAAACTGTAAGATCAGAGGGCCCTTGCCATGAGCTAATCATTCCATGTGCCATATAGGCAAGTGTTGAAGGAGCGCTGGCTGTTTATTTATAGGAGTCTCCCATGGTTCCACGGCACAGCGTTGCTCCCTGAGCTGGATTCAATTACAGGTCTGGTGATAGCTGGAAATACTGCGCCCATACACACATAAACAGGGGTATAAATTGTTAATATGGATGTTAGGGTCCGGTTTATTGCGATGTGTTTACTGCAGCCGAGCCACATGATATGTTCATGAGAAACGGGAGTGGAGACTACGAATGCAAAAATGGAACACGGCACGCACGCAGGGCTATTTCTGAATGCTCATGTCCGTTTTTTTACTCTTCTTTTATTTAATGTTAATTATGAAGGAGGCGCAAAAAAAAATAGCGTCACGATCAATATTTAACTTGGACACAAAGGGAAACCCTTTTCGTTGGTACGAAAACCTACAACCTCGTTACCAACTTGGTAAAAATCAGCCAGACTGGGAAACACAGAAGGAAAGAAATTGGAATCCAACAAAATCAATCAATCAATCAATCAGACTCAATTAACATAAAAGGGAGATAAAAGGCCTCTTGAAAACCCCTTCTTGAAAGTATAAAGTAGAGAAAATGTGTACAGGGAATGTTAAAAATTGTGAGGATTCACGAAAGCTATACAACCTGGAAAGTCCATCCATAATTGTTATATCTTTATAAAACCTTTTAAAAGTCAGGCTCGACCTTCAATCAATTTCGTTTTCTTGAGTTTTTGCCCTTAAACCCCGCCGCCCCCCGCCCCCCCCCCCCCCCCCCTGGATCCGTCCGCTTTGCCACAGTGACAGAGTCCCAGCCTGCTGCACTGCTGTGCTGTGCCCGGGCTGCAGGCTCTGTGCCTGGGCTGCTGACACAGACCCCCCCCCCTCCGGGAACCGGTCCGTTTTCCGCAGGGGCCCGGTTTTTTTAAGACATTTGTGAATAAGCCTTTTGGAAGATCCGGACATACGATAGCAGACTAGCTGGTTGGTGCGAAAGAAACTCTCGGTTTGATCAGCTGCCCGTGATCGACTCGGCTTCCACGAAACGTCACATGACATCGAAGACGTGTTTATAAAGGCGTCAGTTCCTCCGTCCGTCTTGTATCTGTTTAGTTCAGTGAAGCCTATAAACATCGACGTCTTTAACCCCACCAAAAAAAAAAAAAAATCAACTCTGGGACCTTTGAAGTCGTCCTTGATTGAACAAACCCATGTGAGGATCTCCTGCGAGGTGATCCTCCTGTTCCCCGCTCCAGCCTGGATTTTTAGACCACACGGTCTACTAAAAAAGGGAAAGGCTTAATCAAGAAGTGAAATGAAAATCCGTAGGAGGCGTGGGGGATGCTAGCTAGGGTCGTTCCAAGGAACCCTGCCCCTCTAGATTTGAGGCGTTCGATTTCAGGGTCTCACTGCACACCACGTCACCTATCAACTCAAGATAGCAGCAGGCTAAAATAGGTGATTATGAAAAACGCTAGCACTGGCAGGAGGCGAGGTTTAGGCATCGGAGTTCATCTTTCCGGGGTGGACTCCCGGTCTCAGGTGACCTGATGTGGGGTTCACTGCGCGCAGAGCAGATAATAGAAGGAATAAACACAGCTCAGACCTAATCAAAGCAAAACTTTCACACTTTGAATTAGCAGCAGCTGCACAAACAACCACGTGGCCTCAACCGCGTAGACTGGCTGAGGAAAGGAGGGAAAAATGTACGCCGGATCAAACGCAAGATTTTTTTTCCCTCATCACTGTTGTCGCTGTTGAAACACGTTGCGTAACTATTTTTATTTTTACACCGGATGCCCCTCCTGATGCAACCCGTGCCATTGAGCAAGGCTTGAGATGAGCACAAACACGCCGTGGTTTCTCCTGTACAGCTGAGCAACTATAGCAGGCAACTGAACAGGCTAATGTTGTACCCAGGGGGCGCTCTAGCAACCAGGAAGAGATGGTTTGCGCTGATATTTGCAAAGAACTGAATTAAACCTGGAACAGGATGCTACTCTGTTTAGCTTTTTTTTTAAAAATAGTTTTTCATTTTTAACGGCTCCCTGCATCGGCCATTACTGAGACCTTGTTACTATTTTGTATTTTTTTTTTTGCATGGAATTGCTGAAACAGAATGACCATAACACCTTTGGGTTCTTTGAACTACACAATTTCATTTAGAAAAAAAAAAAAAATTAATGAATTCCATATTTGCTCATCGTTTCATATTTTTTCCTCATTTGAAATCAGTGAAAAGTAAAAACAAAAGAGCAGCACTGTCATATTTACACTGTCATTTTAAAATGATTTTTTTAAACATATATGTGAGAGAGGCCAAAGTGACAGGTCAGAAGGGTCACCGAAGACGCCGGAGCAGAGTGAGGCCGAATTTTGGAACAAATGACCAGAGGAAGGAGCAAAAAAAAAAAATGGGTATACTGTAAATCGCCCTAGAATAACAGAGGGAAACTAGCAAATATACGAGAAGGGAGAATTTCAAGATACAGAATTCCAAATCCACCACAACCTCCGTTTCAGTCAGATCATCCTCGTGATTCATAAGGTCGATATCAAAGTGATTTTTGGTCCAACTGCAGATTGACCTTTGACCTGCAGTATCACCAAAGCTTCTCTCCACTGACACAGTTGGTCAACCACGCATTTCTGCATTTCACCTCAGTCCGACCGTCAGGTGGAGGACGAAAGACAGTCGAAAGGCTCTCTGAAGAGCTACTTGAAACGGAGCTCTTCTCGCGCTTCAGCGTTACGTCTATAGACTCATTCCAGTGACCGAGGCGCTGTCATCGCCACGCACTGGGTCAAATGTCCACGTTTCATTTGCGGCACAGTAGTTGGCGCTAGAAGGACGTGATCTGAAGGAAGCCTTGTCGCCTGGTGCACCTGACCTTCAAGAAACTCTTTTTACTCCGACTCCCTCTCTCTCCCTGTCTCTCCCTCTCACACACAAACATGATATGTACATGTGTTCATTCACCAATCGCACTAACAGCAACTGTGGATACACACTTACAGAAATACACACACACACTTTGTAAATACTTGGCTTGAGG